AGCAGGCAGACTATTGTACCAGGTCTATTATAGCAGACAGACTATTACACCAGGTCTATTATAGCAGGCAGACTATTACACCAGGTCTATTATAGCAGGCAAACTATTGTACCAGGTCTAATATAGCAGACAGACTATTACACCAGGTCTTCGTTCTAGTATCTGTTTGGTTTTATAATTGCCAGGCCATGGAGGCAAATTCCTAGAAGGGCTCCACAAGTCCACGGGGTAGTGTGATGTCAAGGGGAAGGCCATGGAGGGGGCTGAGGGACAACATTCTCGAGGGGTCCTGACATCAGTCATACAGGGTGATTTGTCCGTCAGAGTCAGCCTTCCAACAGGGCCCTTTTGTCTGTTATAGACTTTCATGGTGTTGGGGATTGATCTAGCATCTGAGTGGGCCACGACAGCTTTCTACAGCGGAGTTACACCGCCAGATTGTCAGCCTGATGGATCTCCCCCGACCTCTGCCCTTCTAAAGTCTGGAGACATCCCACTAGCAGAACAAAACGTTTGAGAATTAGTCTCTCACTTGCACTCTCTGGCTGTTTGTCTGCAACGAGCAGAACGTTGTAGGTTTGGTGCTGCTGGTCTCTAGCTTTCTGCTTTGTTTGCTGTGGTTTTTTTGTAACGTTGAGGACTGAACCCAGAACTTTCTAGATGCTAACAAGAATTCTCCTACTGCCCTACATCCCCAGCTCTAAAAGACAGTTTTTCTATCTCTTTGAAGACCTAAAGGAAAAAAAAGCAAATTTATTACCTTTGAAAACATACGGCATATTCAGAAGGAATCAGTTATGAGGCATTGTATTCTTTGGATTTGTCCACCTTTTTTCAGATAACGTGTAAAAAAATACTGAAATAATTTCCAAGATTAAGCTCCAAAAACATACAAAAGAAAGAAACCTAGATCTGTGGGGCTTCTGAAGCATTCTAATTTACCAAACATGTCAACTATGCCCAAGGAGCTCAGTGACATCCTGATTAGTGACCCAGGCAGCATACTATTTCAGTTGCCTTCTTGGCTCGCCAGTTCATAAATCTTGATATCAGAGAGTGAAGAATAAAACTTTTTTTTATTCTTTTATTTAGCTAAAATCACCAGCTAAGTCCATATTTCTGGGTAATTCATAGTTGTTATTTTCCTAATCTCTTATTATTGTATTCAATTTCTGTCTGCTTTAGTGTTGGATTATTTTATTCTGAAATGCAATTGAATTTACCATTATATTTCTTATACAAAAGGATTCTGCTTGTTCTTTTAAATGAATTGTTCTTCGTTCCTTTAATTATGATAATTAGGGTTATTTGAATCCTCACAAGTGAGACTGAGTCTGTGTTGACTAATTATCAGGATGAACTACCCCAAACAAAAGCAGTGACATTGAAAGGCTTGTCAGTTGGCCGTACAGAGAGAAAACAATGGACCCTAAATGCCATCTTCAGCCATTAAACTATAAAGTCTGATCAGACAAAGCGTTTAATAGTGCATTTGGTTTATAGTTGAGAATTTTTAACTCTGCGTTTCTAATTATAAGGTGTTGAAAAATTGCTGGCTGCTGAGTACTGCTTTAACTGTTTATTGTTTTCATTTTGAATGAAAATCTATAGTTGCATGATTGTAGGACAAAAACACTGCCAACTTTTAACTCCCTACGTTTCTGTCCTTGATCAGTGCTTGCCTGAATCATGGACCCTCTCCAAAGGTTACCATAGAAACCTGAAGGAGCCAGGGAGAGCAAGCGCAAGAGGGCGCGGGTCTTTGCATACAGAAGGACTTACAGGAGAAAGAACTAGACTTTTTCAGCTATTTTTTCATCTGTGGTCATGAAAGGAAAGAAAAAGTTGAAATTTAACTAACTCTGCCAATCCAGATCATTTTTTGCTTAAAAAACAACTCATGCCCTTTATCTCTTTTGCTTCTCATAATGACCTTCATAAAATAAGTAGAATTTTCATTTGACTGTAAGAAACTGGCCTTTTCCTTCTGCCTTTTCTTTCTTGGAGCTGGTGAACATCATAATGTCTCCACCATGAGCATCATAATGACTAACATTGTTGCCTCTGCTCCCTTCCCTATGTCTGAACGAACCCTTGAAGACCTCAGACACCGGAGGTGAATTCTTGGCGGAAGGAGGTGGCGTGCGTGGCCCAAGAGTCGTGGAGAGACAGCAGAGCCACTGCAAAGAGACAGACTGGCCCTTCTGCTCTGATGAAGACTGGGTAAGCAGAGGAGGGGTGAGCACAGAGAGCTGCAGGCTCACCCAGTGGGTCCTGGAAACCTTTCCCCGTCGGAGATAATCTAGCAGGAACCTAGCTCCTTACATGCCAAATTAGAGAAAGAAAATGGGGTGAACACTTGTCCTAAGGCTTTGTGTAGTTATCTCGAGTCTCTGGTGGGAGGGGGATAAAGGAATGGGGCGCCTGAGCAGTAGGACTTCAGAATTCCCAGAGCTTCATGCAAGACTAAGTGGTCCTTCACTCTGGAGTTTCTCCGTGGCCTCTTAACTAGTCCTCGGAGCTATCCTCGGTGGATAATTGGAAGAGCTGGGGAGGGGAAGCTGCAGGAACTGTTTGAACAACACTTACAAAACTTACTAGGAGATAGACCTTTCATATAATCCTCCCCCCTCCCCTTGCTTCGTTTTCAGAACCACAAATGCCCTTCTGGCTGCAGGATGAAAGGGCTGATTGATGAAGTCAATCAAGATTTTACCAACAGAATAAACAAGCTCAAAAACTCACTATTTGATTTTCAAAAGAACAACAAGGATTCTAATACGCTGACCAGGAATATCATGGAGTATTTGAGAGGGGACTTCACTAATGCCAACAGTGAGTAGAACATTTTTAGTGCTCAGACTTTCTAGCGAAGACAACAACAACAAAAAAACCAATTATAATGTTTCCTTGCAGCTCCCATGATCCTATTCCAAAGCTCTCAGTGCGGAAGCCACTCAAATTTAAGGAGATGTATGTCATTTCCAGAAAGTTAGAGAAGTCAGCCTAGATTTTTAACATCCTGTATATTGAAAATCAGGAGAGGCAGACCGTCAAAGCAGCTATTCTGCTTGTGGCCCATAGACAAGGAGTATCAGAGGTCAAGGGACTTCTCAAAGACACACATTAGAGGTCATCCCCAGATTCTGCTGAGTCAATTACATATTTTTTTAAAAAAATTTGAGATATAGGACCATGCTCAGTGTTCCCCGTAGGACTCACCAGTGCTAGGAAGCTGAGGTCCCTCTGGACATAGATAAAGACTCCGTGGAAGTCCCTGGTCTTGCGCACTGAACAATTTAATGTCAGTGGTGCAGCCATAGCTGGCAGGTGACTGACCCTGGTAATGCCCAAAATGCTTAGAAATGATTTCAAAGTTCCAGGTAGAAAAAAAAAAAAACCTCCTCAACATAAATATATAATAATAGATTCAAGTCTCTTGAGTGAAGTTACGATAAAATAGTTGGATGGGATCCAACTCACTATTTACCAAACCTCTGTTTTAAACTCCAAAGTTATTTCCTTCTGGATTTATTTGGATTTCTAGCCATAACTAATACACATGGCTTTTATGTGGGATAATCTAGTTAAGCCTGAAGCTTGCAGAATACACACCCGGAGAACAGGCTGCAAAGGGATACAGTGTGAAAATGTTCATAAGCAATTTCCGTTTTATTGTTTGTTTGGGTGTTTGGGGTTTTTGTTGTTGTTGTTTTGCTTTAATAAGCAGATCAGTCTGCAGCCACCTGAACACCTTGCATTTTCTGTTTCAGACTTTGATAACACGTATGGCCAAGTATCCGAAGAGCTGAGACGCAGAATTGAGATCCTGAAGCGCAAGGTCGTAGAGAAAGCACAGCAGATTCAAGTTCTGCAGAACAATGTCAGGGCTCAGCTGATCGACATGAAGCGCCTGGAGGTAGGTGTGCCGCTCAGGTCCCAGCTGCCTTGGGTTTGACTAAGGAGGAAAAGCTGGTCTTCCCAGAGGTGGGAAGGAAATTCTTGAAGGGTAAGCACAGCGTATTTCAAAAGAACACACTCTGCCCTGTCTGTCCATCACATGCTTTGAATCCTTGGCTCCAGCATCACAGAGGCTCTTTAGTGAGGGCTTCCATTCACAGGGATTAGTAACTTTCTCTTTCCCCATTCAAATTCTAAAATGGATCCAAATAGTTCCCACTGCCCAGCCTCCTTCCCCTGCAGGGCTTCCAGTGATGATGCCTTGGGAAATGAGAAAACTGTTTTTTTCCGGTAGTCCAAAAAAGTGAAACCCATTTCCAAAATGTAGACCAATTACCAGGAACCAAGTTTGTCACTAGACATAATTCGTTTCTCTGTCTTCCTCTCTTTAGGTGGACATTGATATCAAGATCCGCTCTTGCAAAGGGTCCTGCAGCCGGGGCGTGGTCCATCAGATGGATCTAAGGGACTATGAGGAGCAGCAAAAGCAGCTGGAACAGGTCATCGCCAAAGACCTGCTTCCCGCGAAAGACAGGCAGCACTTGCCAACATTAAAAATGTCTCCCCTTCCCGACTTGATTCCCGGAACTTACAAGAGCCAGCTGCAGGAGGCCCCTCCAGAGTGGAAGGCTTTAACAGAAATGCGGCAGATGCGAATGGAGCTGGAGGGACTCAGGAAGGGTGGGAATTCACGCAGGGATTCTCGAGGAGACTCTCCAACACATGGGGCAGAGGCAGAAAAACCCTTGAAACCGACACCTGGTGTATCTGAGCAATGGCGTCCCGCAAGCTCCCAGCCTGGAAGTGATGGAAGTTGGAACTTTGGGGCTACGGGGTCTGATGGACGCGGGGGTCCAGGAAGCTCTAGACCTGGAGGTTATAGGCCAAATAGCTCAGGCTCTGGGAACCCCGTGCCTAGCAACCAGGACTGGGGGGAATTTTCAGAGTCCACAGGAAGTAGCAGCTCAGCAATAAAGAAAGAGTACCACACTGGTAAACTGACCACCTCTAAAGGAGATAGAGAGCTCCTGATCGGAAACGAGAAAGCCACCTCCTCTGGTACAAGCACCACACGTCGCTCATGCTCTAAAACCATTACCAAGACTGTTACGGGTTCTGATGGCCGCAGAGAAGTGGTCAAGGAAGTGGTCACCTCGGATAATCCCTCTGATTGTGGTGATGCCATTGACTTAAACGTGAACCATAATTTTGGTGGCAGGTTTGACTCGTTTGCCCAAACGTTCCCCGAGCACGCTGATTTTTTTGACAGTCATTTCGATTCACTCTCCTCTAACTTCAAAGAATTTGGCAGTAAGACCGAGGCTGTAGGCTCTGACATTGGCCTAGAAGACCCAGGCTCCCATGTTCCTAGTTATCCTTCCAGTAGTAAAACCTCCTCTGTCAGAAAGCAGCAGATCACCAAGACCTACAAAATGGCAGATGAGGCAGGAAGTGAAGCTCACGATGCTGAAGAAGCTCGGACCACCAAGAGGGGCCGTGCCAAATCGCGGGCATCGAGAGGTATCCACACTTAACTTTCGGGAAGTTCCCCTGACCCCCTAGATTAAATTAACCCTTTTTTGCACCGTTTCCTAACCTTCTAGAGTGCCTTGTTGAAATCGCACTTTTCCTTTTTCGGTCAGTTTTTCGTGCTAGACTGTACGTTCCGTGGGGGCAGGGACTTTGCCGCATGTCTATCTCTGTAATTCCCAAATGTCTTAACAGTGCATTCGTTTCTCAATAAATATATTTCAAATAAATGAACAAATTCTTCTGAAACTCAATTCTGAGTCTGTTTAACCGAATCCGCGCACAATGTGTGCCATTGTGACATCCAACTCACTAACCTTAAATTTGGTGTTAAGTCTCAGTTGACATTTAGATTGGGTTAAAAATTTGTTCTCTTACTATATTGATTGATGGATGCTTAGCCGCCTCTGATGACCATCTGCTATTAGTATGTGCAAATAAGATTTCAAATCCATTTGAAGAAAGTTTGCACTTTGAAGACATAAGTATTCTTTACCTATTTAAAATTACATCTCAATGTAGGTGCTTTTTTTTCCATGGGAGGAGGGAAGGAAGGAGGGAGGGAAGGAAGGAAGGAAGGAAGAAAGAAAGAAAGAAAGAAAGAAAGAAAGAAAGAAAGACAAACAGACAGGCAAGCAGTATCTATCTTCTTTAATCTGGGCGATGTTTTCTTTGTAAACTTAAATGAGAGCAACTCCTTCCAACCAGCTTGATTTTTCTTTTAGACTGTGATGATGCCCTCCAATCACATCCTTCAGGTGCCCAGAGTGGCATTTTCAGTATCAAGCTCCCTGGATCCAGTAAGATTTTTTCTGTTTATTGCGATCAAGAGACCAGTTTGGGAGGATGGCTTTTGATCCAGCAGAGAATGGATGGATCACTGAATTTTAACCGGACCTGGCAAGACTACAAGACAGGTTTCGGCAGCCTGAATGACAAGGGGGAAGGGGAATTCTGGCTAGGCAATGACTACCTCCACTTCCTCACTCTGAGGGCCTCTGTCCTCAGGGTTGAATTAGAGGACTGGGCTGGAAAACAGGCTTATGCCGAGTACCACTTCCGGGTAGGCTCTGAGGCCGAGGGCTATGCCCTGCAGGTCTCCTCCTACCGGGGCACCGCGGGAGATGCTCTGATAGAAGGCTCTGTGGAGGAGGGGCCCGAATACACCTCACACAGCAGCATGCGATTCAGTACCTTTGACAGGGACGCGGATCAGTGGGAAGAGAACTGTGCGGAGGTCTATGGGGGAGGCTGGTGGTACAACAGCTGCCAGGCTGCCAATCTCAACGGCATTTACTACCACGGGGGCACCTATGACCCCAGGAACAACAGCCCCTATGAGATAGAGAACGGGGTCGTCTGGGTCCCCTTCAGAGGGGCAGATTATTCCCTCAAGGCTGTTCGCATGAAAATCAGGCCGCTGGTGGAGCAGAAGCTGAAGAAGTAGGGAGCGG